AAAGGGAACTATTCAAACTTAACACCAGACCAAACCCTAGAATTTCGTCTCAGAGCCAAGCACCCAGAAACCCAAGAGGGGCCGCCGGCAGAAGATGCAGGAGGCATGGGATCAGATCCGCACCTAGTTGGCGGCGGGCTTGTCGACGAGCTTCTTGTCACGGCGCTCCATGGCGACGTCCCACATGTCGTTCCCGATGTGCTTCGGCTGCATCCAACGAACCACACGCCCGCGTCAGAACGAGAAGAGAGAGAGACTCGGATCGGGATTCGGGGGAGAGAGAGAAATGGGGAAAGGGAGCGGTACCCTGCCGTGCGCGGCCCTGTGGATGTAGTACTGGCCGTTGCCCATGATGCAGAGGAAGCCGCCGATGATGCCCAGCGGCAGCATGGCCTCCAGCCAGTGGAACCGGAACCTCGCCATCGGGGGCCGTACGGGGAGACGACGGACGGATCGGGGACGGCGACGAGGAGCAGATTCGCGAGCTATCCAGCGGTTGCGGGTGGGGAACTGAGGTCGCGACGGCGAACGGGCGGCTCTGGACTTGGTCTGTGAGTGGAGAACGTTGGGCCAGTTGCGTGGGCCGGGCTTTCCGGCTTCGGCGAACCAGAAATTGGATCCTTGACCGAGTTTTTTTTTTTACGAAAACGGGTAAGGGTTTCTTTTTTGCGAATGAAAATGGGTCAGGGTTTTCTTCAGTTGAAAATGGGTCAGGGTTTCCTTCAGTTGGAAATGGGTTGGGGCTAATGGCGTCATAGAGGGAAATATGAATGTGTTTTCCGCTAAAAAAATCTAAATATTTTAATAATTTCACACTAAAAGCTATGAAAATAATCATACAAGAGGATCTAAATGCCCTTATATTAGTTTACGGAGGAAATACAATTTTATGCAAAATGTTGTTGGCCACTCCGTAGAATGTCAACTGGAGTCGGGCAGTGCGGTGGTCGTGCTCATCAGCTCATGGAATCCCGGAAGGGTTGCAAGTTGGAACTTGGAACCACTCCACTACTCCAGCGTTCTTTTACACTAAACAGGATCATGGAAAAGGAGGAGGGGTGATACTGTGGGTGACAAGGGCTCCTGGATCCGTGCCGAAAGCCCCCAAAATATTGCTGCTTTGCACGAAGCAAGAGCGAGCATGGAAAGCTAGACCGGGCGGGGACGTGCGAGACGGATGGAGATGGCGCTTTTGTCTCGGGCCGGGAGCCCTTTCCCCACCGCCACCGGGCTGTGACAACAAGGTGCGTGGGCGTATCTTCCGTATGCCCTCGCGGGATCCTGTAGTAGTAGTTTCTTTTTCTGCTTATTTTCTTTTCCCATCGTAGTAGTACGAGGCTGACCGCCCACACCACAATTTACACATCAGAGTGTTTGTCCCTCCCTGAAAGGATAGCGTACTACTACTGCTCCAACACGTAAACTATTTTGTCAATGTATCCTCTCGGGGGCTGCAAAGCTGCGCCGTTTCCAACGATGCAACGCGCCGACGCCATACTCACTCTCCAGCTTTGCTGTACTCCTCAACACGTAAACTGTCTCGTCGATGTTTCTATAAAACGTAGGTCTGGGAAACTGCTCGACACGTTAAACAGGGTGTGGCTACCTCATTATATAAAGGTATCAAGGGTACAATACAATGTTAAAATACGTGTACAGAGGCTACGTATATACAGTCTAACACCCTCCCTCAATCTTAACTATGGCCTGAAGTACAAAGCAAGTTAAGATTGCGCCTACAGCCTACAAACTGTGGTTGTGGAAGAGGCTTCGTGAAGATGTCAGCAAGTTGATCCTTCGACGAGATGAACTTGATACAAAGTAGTTTCTGTGCAACACGTTCCCGAACAAA